AAAGAGAAAACGCGAAACGCTATCAAAATGGAAGAGAAATGGCGCGAAGAAAATGAATAAAACACAAACGTAAAGGAAGTGTTAAAAAGAAAATAAAAAGCGGAATGAAGAAGAGAAAGAAGAAAAAAATCTGAAAAGAAAGAAAAGCGACCAAAAAAAAAAAAAGAATTGTACATAATGAATGCTATTTAAAAGGTTCCTGCATCAACATTTCCAGAATCTATCCTAAAAGAATCTACAGAATTTATCCTAAAGCTCAATTCCTTGGATTTAAAGAAAAAAGTTTTAATATTTACAAAGCTTCTTCCAGCTCATCAAGAAATCTTTTATATAGTATTCGAATGCCGCTCTTAATTATCCATGTAATTACGGGAGCCAAAGCTAGTATAAATGTTCTTATTATATAACGAGGCAAAATAGAATACGTCGTTTTAAAAGTGATAGGAATTTCCTTTATTCTACAGATAAATTGAAGGTAACACCAAGCTTCATTCTAATGAGAACTCGCAGTTAAATTCATTGTTACTGACGCCTGAATTTTACCCTAAAGAAAAATCAAAAGTTTCGAGTTTCGTAAGTTTCGGCATTTTACTAATCATTTCAACTAGACTTCTCTTCGCTAAATATTATTTAAAACTTCGTAAATAATTTCATAGAAAATGAAAAACTTTTTTATAGTACTTTATATTTCCTTTTCTGTTTTTTTCTCTTCTTTTTTTACTTATTCACAAAGTAATTATACTTCAAATAGTAAAATTTATATAAAAAAGCACCTAATCTACACATTGCTGATACCTCCTGACGATTGGACCGAACGATTATACAAAGTTTTGTCTCCGAAACTCTGGAGTAAAAGTTCTGAATATAACATCAATCAGTTAACTGACAAATTTTATATTTATTAATCCCTTTATATATATATATATATATATATATATATATATATATATATATATATATGGAGGGTGTGTGTGTGTGTGTGTGTGTAGCAAGCGTGGACATAGGTATCAACACTGAGAGGGGATCACTTTGTTTCATGCTACTTACATAGAGTCTTTTCATGGTCTGACCATTTCGTTTAACCCTTAACTGATTGTCCGCATACAATGTTAATACCTATGTCGACACTGCTTATATTTACATCTCTCATAAACATAATAAATTGCATCTATAATTTATTACATGTATGTATAAAAACCATCACACACACACACACATATATATATATAATACTAAAAGTCTGTGGTTGTGTGCGTCCTTGTATTTTAATTTTAATTTCCTTTAAACTGAAAATTTTTACATTATTTACATTATTCGGACTGTTGTCCTCATCTTTGTCAACATATTTATCACAACGTTTCGGCCGTTGTACACTTCGGCCTTCTTCAGGTGGTTGGAATGTACAATGGTGTCACCACTTATGACTTTATTTCGCTCACTTTTCTATGTTTAATGGATGTCAGTTATCAGCTATCTCCTGTTAATTACCCTCTGAAAGTTCTCCACTGCCTTAACCAGGAATTGAACTCACACTCTTTGCGTCCTGTCACTGGATCTAACCAACCCCTTTATCCACTGTACCATGAGGACATCTGGGTATGAATTTCTGGGTATTATATACCTAATGTTCAGCAACCATTTTTACCAGTGCTCATATTGCAATTTTGCTGTTATCATTGCTTTTCTCTGGCACTCCTTATTACTGGTTCCTATATTTTATTTATTTCTATGCTTGGTCGGCTCAATGAGATTTTTGTGGCCTAGTATATGTCCTGATTCCTTAAGTTTACGAATTTTCCAATGGTGTTCTTTGTCTATGGTCTGGGAACACCAGCAATTAAGAGTTGGTCCAACGCTCCTCAAAACCTCCTGATCAGAGGCCTTGCTGCTGGGCGTAGTTTATCGTCTTACCCAAGACGCGGACAAATTTTTAAAATATGTTGTAACATCACTACAAAAATAGCCATTTCTTCATCACTTGAGAAGACACCAGAAGTGTGGAATCAAAATGGCTATTTTTCTAGTGATGTTATAACAGTGATGTTATATCTTATAATTTTTTAATAAATAATATTTGCTCTACTCTGTATTGAGCACTCTTTTAAGAATAGCGTTTTTGCTTATTGGAATTTTATTCCATCTACACCAATCCTATACTTATACCAATCCTATACTATATATCCTATACCAATCCTATACTATATATATATATATATATATATATATATATATATATGGTATATTTAATATTAAATGTTATGTTAGTATATTTAGTATTCAATGTTATGTCAGTATATTTAATATTAAATGTATTAAGTGTTATGTCAGTATATTTAGTATTAAATGTCATGACTTTAAGATAATATACTAACTTTGCTACACTTTTGAGACACCCTATATATATATATATATATATATATATATATATATATATATATATATATATATATATATACAGTCTCAAAAATGTATACACTCTATTAACTCCTCTTTGTTCAGCAGATCTCATCCGTTTAGCCTTTTTTTCTTGTGGGGATACTTAAAAAGATAAAGTCTGGTCTACAAAACCAGCAACAATGGCTGGAATGAAAGTTTCCTTAGAGCCAGAATGCTGTGTTTGAATCCTTTGTGTTGCGTTGTCAGCAAAGTTTGGATCATATGAGACATCAATTTGAAAAGATGCGATGGAAAAAATTTTAAAAGCCTTCATTTATAATGAATAATTTCTTCATATCCATTATTTAAATTAGATACAATTGGTTCTAGATGCTTGAATTATTTTTTGAGAAAGCTTCAATATACTAAAATCTGTATATCACAACAGCAATTAATTTTGCATGAAAAGAGGACGAAATTCAAATGTCACCAACTAATTTGGATAATAAAAGTTTAAAATGAATACTCTTTCGACTATATATCACTATTGACTATTGCTTTCGTGAATATATTCCCTGTCAAGACCTGTTGACAGTGCTAGCAAAGTTAGTATAGTATCTTAATGTCATGACATTTAATACTAAATATACTAACATAACACTTAATACTAAATATACCAACATAACAGTTAATACTAAACATACTAACATAACACTTAATACTAAATATACCAACATAACATTTAATATTAAATATACTGACATAACATTGAATACTAAATATACTAACATAACATTGAATACTAAATATAGTAACATAACATTGAATACTAAATATAGTAACATATCATTTATTACGAAACATACTAACATAATATTTAATACTAAATATACTAACATAACATTTAATATTAAATACACTAACATAACATTTAATACTAAACATACTAACATAACATTTAATACTAAACATACTAACATAACACTTAATACAAAATATACCAACATAAAATTTAATATTACATATACTGACATAACATTGAATACTAAATATACTAACATAACATTGACTACTAAATATACTAACATAACATTGAATACTAAATATAGTAACATAACTTTGAATACTAAATATAGTAACATATCATTTATTACTAAACATACTAACATAATATTTAATACTAAATATACTAACATAACATTTAATACTAAACATACTAACATAACATTTAATACTAAACATACTAACATAACACTTAATACAAAATATACCAACATAAAATTTAATATTACATATACTGACATAACATTGAATATTAAATATACTAACATAACATTGACTACTAAATATACTAACATAACATTGACTACTAAATATACTAACATAACATTTGATATTAAATATACTGACATAACATTTAATATTAAATATACTGACATAACATTTAATACTAAACATACTAATATAACATTTAATATTATATATACTGACATAGCATTTAATACTGAAATAACTTTTAATATTAAATATACCGATATAACTTTTAATACTAAATATATTAACATAACATTTATTACTAAATATACTGGCATAAGAAATAAAAATATTTCAATACTAACAGCCACAGGTAGTTATAACAAATCGTACCAATACGATTATAATTTTTATCCCGCCTACATTATGAATGCTCCATCAAGGGCAAATGATATTGTATGAAAAGGGGGTGAAATTCAGATATAGGTCACCCACGGGCGACGTTCACCAAATTTGGATAAATAAAGACAGAGAAATGAAAGAGATAAACTGAAATAAAAGGACTTTAAGCGCCATCTTGGTTTAGAAAGAAAATACAAAGTTTTGAACTTATATTAAGAAAGAATATAAAATTAGAAACAAAATAAAAAGTACAGACAAACAAATAAGAGAGATTAAAACGTAATTGTTCAAGTTACCAGAAAGAAACGTGCAAGAGAGAAAGGGAAAATAGATGGAGGAAATATGCGAACAGTAAATGAAAATAGAGATAAACAACAGATTTTTAAAAAAAAAGAGTGAAATAGAGCGAAGAGGTTGAATTATAAATTTGATGCGCCAAATTATGGAAAATCGTCAAGGATGAAAACCTATAATTGAAAAATTTTTGAAAGTTTTATAAATTAAGTTCCCTAAACTTATATTTAAAATCCAATTATTATACTTTCGTTACACCATAGCTTAAAAAATATGCTTCCTATCGATATATGCAGCATAATGATCGCTGATTTAAAATCAGAAATGTCACAAAAGAAAACAAACATTATAGAGGAAATTCCTTGAAGTTCTATTACTAGCAGTGTTACTCAGAGTTGCCCGGGTTAAAATGTCTTTTGAGATCAACGCTAATGAAAATGAGAAGAAAGCATTAACTGCAAAAAGTCAGAACGCATGATTGTTAGCAAAAAGTTAAAAGTGTGAATTGTACATCCGAGATACAAAAAGGGGGGGGATTTAAATATCTAGGAAGTTTTTTTTTTTATAACGACGGAAAGTGAGATACTGAAATTCGAAGACGTATTGGGATAGCCAAAGTATAATAGAATTTTCGAGAAAGAGAGAGAATTTTTGAGAGAGAGAAAGAGAATTTTTCAGAGAGAAAAATTTTTGAGAAGGAAAGAATTGTTGAGAATAAGAGAATTTTTGAGAGAGAATTTTGAGAATGGGAGGAGTTTTGAGAAAGAGAGAATTTTTGAGAGAGAGAGAGAATTTATTGAGAATGAGAGAATTTCTGAAGAATGAGAGAATATGAGTGACTTTTTGAGTGCACAATTGAGTCATAAGTAAACAAATGCAATAATAATTACCTTTTGGAAATTTATTTTAAGATGAGAACAACTTCAGTAACTCACAACTGAATGACATATGGCCCAATGGATAAATGCGTTGAATGGATCCAGAAATGAGACTTGTTGAAGGTGAATATGGCCAAAGAACAAGTAAACATGAATATGGCAGTAAAGATGAGGTCAACATTTCCAAACAATAACAATGTAAATAAGTGTAAAGGTAATTACAAAGATAGGACAACAGTCCAAACAATGTAAATAGTGTAAATAATTATAACACCTCATCTCAGAAATAGAGATGATGTTGAAGGTGAATATGGCAACAAAGATCATCTCAGAAATAAAGACAGATGAAGGTGAATATGGCAACAAAGATGAGGACAACAGTCCAAACAATGTAAATAGTGTAAATAATTACAATACCTCATCTCAGAAATAGAGACAGATGTTGAAGGTGAATATGGCAACAAAGATGAGTGACAACAGTCCACAACAGTCCAAAACAATGTAAATAGTGTAAATAATTACAATACCTCATCTCAATATGAAATAAAGACAATATGTTGAACAGTCCAAATAATGGGCTTAAAATAATTACAAATACCAGATCTCAAAACAGATGAATATGGCAACAAAGATGAGGACAACAGTCCAAACAATGTAAATAGTGTAAATAATTACAATACCATCTCATCTCAGAAATAAAGACAGATGTTGAAGGTGAATATGGCAACAAAGATGAGGACAACAGTCCAAACAATGTAAATAGTGTAAATAATTACAATACCTCATCTCAGAAATAAAGACAGATGTTGAAGGTGAATATGGCAACAAAGATGAGGACAACAGTCCAAACAATGTAAATAGTGTAAATAATTACAATACCTCATCTCAGAAATAAAGACAGATGTTGAAGGTGAATATGGCAACAAGAGTCCAAACAGTAAATAGACAGATCCAAATGAAAAGATGAGGACAATAGTCCAAAATAATGTAAAATAGTGTAAATAATTACAATACCTCATCTCAGAAATAAAGACAGATGTTGAAGGTGAATATGGTAAGGACAACATCCAAACAATGTGAATAGTGTAAATAAGATACAATACAACAGAAATCCAAACAATGGTAAATATGGCACAAAATGATGAGGACAATAGTCCAAACAATCAGAAATAGTGTGTGAATAATTAACAAAGATGAGGACAACAGTCATCTCAAAAAAAAGACAGATGTTGACGGTGAATATGGCAACAAAGATGAGGACAACAGTCCAAACAATGTAAATAGTGTAAATAATTACAATACCTCATCTCAGAAATAAAGACAGATGTTGAAGGTGAATATGGCAACAAAGATGAGGACAACAGTCCAAACAATGTAAATAGTGTAAATAATTACAATACCTCATCTCAGAAATAGAGACAGATGTTGAAGGTGAATATGGCAACAAAGATGAGGACAACAGTCCAAACAATGTAAATAGTGTGAATTATAAAATTATCTCATCTCAGAAATATAGATTGATATATGTTTTGTTTCCTTATTTTGTTTGTTTGTTGGTTTAGCGGCATATCTTTTTCTTTCCTTTTCCTACAAAAATGTATTGCTGGCAATTTTCATTTTTTATCTTTTACAAAAATGCATTGCTGGTAACCTTTTGCGTGCATGTTTAATATAATTTCTTTTTAATACTTTCGTAGTGCTTTGACCCCTGTTTGGAAGTCAACCATTTTCTGATAGCTGGGACTGTAATAGGTGCTAACGTAAGAGGACCTTGGAACGACAGCAATTATGATGTGGTTTCACGTAAAAACTATTTAACATTATTTCTAACAACCCGGAGAAATAATTATAGAAGAATATTATGGAGGAGTTATATATACAGTTTGATCCTGGACAAATAGCTCCATCATTAGAAAAAAAATCTAATCTTTTTGTAAAAGATTTTGTTTAATCCTGATTAAAAGGGGACTGATTTCTCAATACAAACATTTGAAACCGATATTTCGAAATTATTTTTTATACCGACCCTAGAGGAAAGAAAAATCTTGAAAATTTCTTCTTCATTAGAGCCATAGTTCAGAATTTATGGGCTCTTGAAATTTGTTTGGATTTTCATGTTGCGAATCAGCAGCACACCTTGCTAAATTTGGCAGTAGCTAACTTTGCTTTCTGAGGAATTTGGTTTTCTCCTGATTGATGCATAAAAAAACATACCAGTACCGAAACATGAAAGTTTTTGTGTAGCGATATAAAATGTTTTTATTGTGATTTATTATAATTAAAATATTGTAATAATATTTTGCTCTACTTTTTATTGAGCGCTTAAAAAAAAAAATAAATGCGACAAACTGTGGATTTTTACCCCATCTCCCATCTGCTCTTTCTCTTATTTGGATATATATAAATACATAATTATAAATACATATTATCTCTCACTGTTAGCACAACTCTGAGTTTCATGCACAACGGAGTCATCAGGTGCTGAGTATAGACTGACCATTACGCAATGTTAGCTCAGTTACATATTTATTAGGCTTACATTTTTTAGCTAAAAAACATTTAGCCTTTAAAATAAACCGATATATATATATATATATATATATATATATATATATATATATATATATATATATATAAAAAAGAGAAAGAACAGATGGGAGATGTGGTAAAATTCTACATTTCGTAGCATTTATATATATATACTACAAACACACACAAACATATATATATATATATATATATATATACGTGTGTGTGTGTCCTTTTACATTTCTTCTATGAACAAAACTCGTTACAATGAAGCGTAATGGTGTGCCAACTTAACAGTATAAAAACAGGAGGCAAGGGTCGAATAGTCACGTTACGTGCCATGGACTTCTCTGTTTAAATCTGAACCTACTAAAAATAGTTACTGATTTTAAACATGTCAACCTATGTTGGGTTATTTAATAGCACAATTTGGCATACGGCATCCTGTGAGGATCGAACTCACTACTCTTCTCGTTGCCCACTATCCAACGCTGGGTTGCCTCCCCCATAAAAACCATCTTGTTGTTTTATCGGTGATCACAAAAGAAAGCAGACGGTCAGACTTGACTTGCTTTTGCGTTCGGTCATAAATGAGATACTAAAATCAGATGGTGCATTGGTATAGCGAAAGATGTTTTCCAAAAGCTGAGCAAAGTATTAAGAAATAGAATCATTCCGTTAGAAACAAAGAAAAAAGTGCTATACTAATATGTAATTTTCGTTGGACAAATTCCTGACAAATGAAGGGGTAACTTAATGCCACACAGATGTCGTTCTCAGTATTTACTGAGACCTCCCCACAAGGCGGGATGTGGCACAAATGCCGATTTTTAACGCGGGGTTTTCCGAGCGCGTACGCTCGGGTAAAAATTCCCCATAGACCACGCATACACGGGGTCGGGCAGTTGTCTACCTCCCGAGATGTGACTCTGCTCTTCGGCATAGCCTCGTTTGGGTTCCTCTCTGCCCGAAAGCAGGGAGGTCGACTAGAAGACACACCTATTCTATAGTTAATAGACTCTCCCGCCTAATATAAGTAGGAGTAGTAAGAGAAACGAGGGTCAGTCGATGTCGGACGACCGGCTGAACGGTTGAACTCTCTGCCTTCGGGCGGGGAGGAACGGAGCTCGTTCGGGGAGGTAAACCGACCCTGAACCCGTTTATACGGGTTCAAAGGGTATATTTTTGGCCGAGCCCACGGGCTCGGAGATCCCACGTTAAACCGGCCTTGTGCCACATGATACCCTCGTGGGGGGACTAGTCGATATCGGATGACCGTAGTCGACAGTTAATCGAATGCGAAAGTAGTCAGCGACCACAACAAGATTACTCTGCGTAATACCTATTATATCAAGTTCCTAACGTTTTGTACGTCGAACCTATTTTAGGACCGATTTAGTACAAATACTAGTCTCCACTGCGAAATAACTCCACAATACTCTTTATCGGAATTTTCTCTGTATGTAAGCCTATTGTATTTTGAAATGGCTGTATATTTCTTTTAATTATGTATAAGATCCTATCTGCATAAGTTTTATCCTTTCTCTGATAACTAAATTTCAGATAACGAAATAAAAAGGAAGACATTAATGTCATTAATCGAGGTAATGCCGTAAAAGCGAACCGGGAAAATACGGAATATTTAAATAAAGCATAACTAGAAAAAAAGTGAAAAAGTTTTCTGGGTAACATCAAAAATTATATTTTCGTCACAAAATAAAATTAAATAAATGGAAAGAAATCTGAAGCGAAACAGATTTACCTGAAGTTAGTGAAGGAAAGCGAGAAGAAAGGACTAAACACCAACTACAAGAAGACAGAATGCATGATTGTTAACAAAACATCTGTTAGCAAAGATCAGCAACCATGACATATTTCGAAAAGGTTTCCGTTCACGGTTTGATTTGTTTTACGGCTTATCAACCTCAATGGGTTATTTAATTTTTATGGCTGGTAATATTTTTTTTTATCTATCTATCTCAGTATATACAGGTTTGGTTTGTTCTGTTTTACGGCATATCAACCTCAGTGGTTTATTTAATGCCGACAATTTTTATGGCTGGTAATATTTTTTTAAATGTATTTCTGGTAATATTTTTTCTTCAAAAACCTATTTCTGGGAATATTTTTCCTTCAAAAAATGTATAATGGTAATAGTTTTTCCAAAAATGTATAGCTCTTTGTATTGCTGTTTTTTTTTTTTGGGGGGGGGGGGGGTTAAGTACTGCCAATAATAATTTTTCCTTCAAAAAATTATTGCTGGTAATAATTTTTTACAAAGTATTTCTGGTATTAAAATCTATTTTTACACTTTCATAGTATTTTGAAAGAAGTTTGGGTGTTAACTATTTGCCCATAGCTGGGACCCTAACAGGTGATACCACCCCGGGTCACGGTGAACCTGGGAACACCAGCAATTAAGAGCTGGTTCCACGCTCCTCTAAACCTCCTGATCATAGGTTTTGCTCTTGGGCGTAGTTTATCGTCACACCCAGGACGGCATATTTAGAAAGGATATTGGAATAATCAAGAACCTATACTGGCAGCAAACCGCCTGCATACCGATAGAAAATGAGTTTAGGAAGAGACAGTTGTGGCTACTAGGGTACATAATGAGAAAAGAGGGCTTGGAAAATCCGATACCCACAGGACAGATTGAGAGCAAGTGAAACAGAGGAAAACAATGTATAACATGCTTAGTGAGCTTGAATAAATGGATAGCGGACCAGGCTTTCGGAGAAATAATAGAAAGACAAAATTTATTAAGACCAACAAAAGATTGGATATTGTGGAGAGCCATGATCGCCTACATGCTTTGAACGAGGACGGAAATTGTGTAACGGCAATCCGAAGATGTATTGGGAGGGCCAAAGATTCATCTCTGACTACGTTTCAGCTTTTTCAAAATGGCGGCTGTCTGCGCGAATGCCTGTCTTGAGTGCCTGAGAAGTCGTCTGGCAGTTATTGACTAGTCTGGCTTCCACTTTTATTGGCGAACTGATACCTCTTTATATCAGACTTTGTTCACCTTTACACACACATGAAAATTAGCAAGACTGAAACCGAGATAGATGGACGGACGGCCTGTGTGTGCATTGGTATATTTATGAATGCGTATCTGGTCTTTCTGTTCATTATTTTGTAAGCTTTTACAGTCGGTATGAGAATGTAAGAAAAAAAGACAGAAAGAACAAAAGAAAAACAGAAAGAAAGAAAGAAAGAAAGAAAGAATGAAAGAAAAAAAACAAGGACGTAAAGAATGTAAATGATGTAGAAATATTAAAAAAAAAAAAATAACAGATAGAAGAACCAAAGAAAGAAAGACTGAAAGAAAGAAAGAAAGAAAGAAAGAAAACCAAGGACGTAAAGAGAGAAAATGACGCCTAAATGTAGAAATATTAAAATCAAGACAGACAAGGAAAGAAAAATGAACACACACACGCACACACATATACACCTATACACGTACGCACACGCATCTGCAAATACATACATATATACACACACATGCATACACACTATTAATATATATTCTTTGTGGTTAAATTATTACAATTGTAAGTATGCTCGTAAACATAACATCAATTTCATAATTTTCATGTAAGGAAGGTAACTTAGTTAATAATTGAAATATTAATAGAAGGTTATAATTGTAATAATTCAACCACAAAGAATTTCTCTTACAACATTATATATATATATATATATATATATATATATATATATATATATATAATATAAATTATATTAAATTCAACAAATATTTTACGGTTAGCATCTAATATGTTGCCATTATTTACGTTAGGTTACGTTTCGGAGCAGAAATGAATTATTGAGAAAGATCGTCGAAGATGCGTGTTTCTAGTGATTTTCCAAGCATAGCTTACATGTGGCACAAGGCCGAAAGTATGGGGCACCCAGTGAGGAAGATGCGTGTTTATAAGCAGTCATTTAGACTTTGCTAACTGGAAAGATCTCTGTAGCTGAATGGTTAACAACACATCAGGTTATATGACTGTTTCTGTATGAGATACAGCTTCCATTCCTCTCGGAGAACGCATATTTTTACAAAATTTCACGAACATTCAAGCCGGTAAATGTAATTAATTACTGTTTAATTCAAAACAGAGCATTTGCTCAAATAAGTTCTATCTATAAGAATAACGTATAAACAGAATATATATATATATATATATATATATATATATATATATATATATATATATATATATAAAAAGAAAACAGACCACTTTAAGGTATCATTATTATAATTTATTTCACCAGAGCCCTTTTAAAGGACGCCGGATCATCAGATAGCACTTCCAAAAATGAAATGAAACGAAAAGTGAAATGAAAATTAATGGGTAGTGTAAGCTTTTGTAACTTAACAGAGAGTGTAAAAGGAGTAGTTAAAGAGACATGGTAGAGTTTAGGGAGGGTTTAATTTCATATCTCTCTCAAGCATACTCTGTATTGGGGGAGGAGGAGTGACCAGACCATGACCTATTTAGACGGTTAACTTAACGGAAATGATATATTCAAATGGGAGGGGAAAAGGGAGAAAAGAAAAGGAAAAAGGAAAAAGAAAGAGGGAGAGGGAAGTAAACAGAAAGAGCCTGTAATTCGGTCTTAGCAATTTAAGTAAAGAATAGATTTTAATGCTTGATAGTAATTGAGATGTCTAAAAAAACACGAAGAATATGATGCTTGCTATCAATTTAAATATATATATATATATATATATATATATATATATATATATACCTTCCAGCATAGATGCTTTCGATGCAAGTATATATATATATATATACTTGCATCGATATATATATATATATATATACAGTGTAACCTGGATATAAGAGACTCGGATATAAGAGAAACCCGGATATAAGAGAGATTTTCTCTGGTCCCAAATTAGAGCCTGTGTTAATGTATACATATAGGAGAAACCCGGATATAAGAGACTTCTTCTCCGGTCCCGAGAACTCTCTTATATCCGGTTACACTGTATATATATATATATATATATATATATATATATATATATATATATATATACTTTCATCAAAACGCATCTATGTTGGAAGGTGCATATTTCAAGTGAGTGGTATTATTTTATATGAAATTGTGTACATGTGTGTGTGTGCGTTTCCTCGTGCGTATAAATGAAGCGTAGAGAGAAAGGCAAAAAGGCATGTGCACGTGAGAAAAAGACAAATTATAAATACGTGTGTGTGTGTGTCTGTGTCTGTGTGTGTGTGTGTGTGTGTGTGTGCGTGCGCGCGCATATGTGTCTAGTAAATTTTGAAAGCGGTTTCAGAGGAGGAGGCGGAGCGGTAACGAAGACAATCTCTTTCCTTCCCGCTTAGGTAAAGAAAAGAAGAAAAAAAACAACAGAAACGAAAAAAAAATGGCGTCTCCCACACGCGCATTTGAATGCAGGCGGAGATTTGGGGAGAGAAGCCTGGACGGACAGAAAGACGCAACGTGCGCGATATGTATCGCAACTTATTGCCATGCAAACACGCACATTTTTGTGCGTGGGTGGTAAACAAACACTTTACTTATGTCAAGTCTTTGTTTAGATATGATAGATTATTGCACAGCGTCAGAGAATGTGAGTGTGTTGGGATGGGTGCTGTATAAAGGATAATACAAAAGCAAGGATCGAACTCTGGTAATAGTATGGAATGAGAAAATTACTAAAGACTACTTCACAGCGATGTTCCCTCCAAGCAGTTGACTGATCCAACCATTAATAATAGACGAACAATTAAAATTAATGCCAATTAATGTAACGTGTACCTGTGTTTTGTAGATTATGCTGAACATAAACCTTGACATATTTAGGAAGAATATTGAAACAATCAAGAACCTCTACTGTCAGCAAACCATCTGCATCCGGATAGAAAATGAGTTCAGCAGATATGCAAAAATAGAAAGAGGTGTAAGACAAGGATGTGTCTTCTCACCGGACTTATTCAACCTATAGAGTGAGGCGATTATGAGAGAACTACCAGGATTCGTTATTATTAGACATAATTTTAACGACATAAAGTAGGCAAATGACACAGTGTTGATAGCAGACATAGAACGGAAACTACAAGAATTTGCACAGAAGATAGAGAAGGAAAGCGGGAAGAAAGGATTAAACATCAATTGCAAGAAGACAGAATGCACGGTTGTTAGCAAAAGGATAAGCACTTAATGCAAATTACAAATCGGTGATACCAAAGTCACACAAGTACAATTTCTGGAGGTCATAATGAGGTAAGAAGGCTTGGATAATTAAATACTCACAGGACACAATGAAGGCCAAGACGCTGAAAGGGAAACAGCGAATAACCTATCAAATAATCTTTTCTAAATGTATGGCTGAAGGAAATTAAAGAAAATCCTAAAGAAGATAATATAACGAGAAGCGATGTTTAATATTAAATATGCTCTGGCTTTAAATAACCGACAAAAGGGTTAATAAACCGTCAAAAATAAAAGAAATAAATCGAGAAATATTTATTATATTTTGTTGTCTTCTAGAAAAGGTTGCGAGGAATGAGGAAAAACCAAAACGGAAGTCGAAAATGATGTGGTAATCTTTATAACATCAATAAAATACAATACTCGCTGGCGGCGTGAAGTAGGTAGACCACTGCTAGTGGTAGACTACTTAGACAGCATGTCACCTTTTAGAATAGGTATATATATTATATGTAATATGAAGATGTAATGGGTCCGTACTTATAACTACAGAATGAACTCTTACTAACACTATGTATACTACGCCTCTCAAGAGAGAAGGACGAATCGAGTCAAGCCGATAGTAGTTCACACCAAACCAGACTGACAGTCATACTAACACCTTCCACATCTTGTATTATTATTTCGTGTAATAAACATTCGTTATTTCTACTCTTGTGTTCATTTTGTTCTTCCTTATTGCTAACCTTGAACCATAACAGAAAAGAAAATAGAAAATGAGTTCAGTAGATATACAAAAATAGAAAGAGGTGTCAGACAAGGATATGTTGTCTCACCAGATTTATTCAGCGAGGCGATTCTGAGATAACAAATAATAGAGTTCTCATTATTGGTGGTAACAATCTTAACAACATAAGATATGCAGATGATACAGTGTTGATAGCAGACACAGAAAGGAAACTACAGGAACTCCTAAAGATGGTAGTAAAGGAAAGCGTGAAGAAATGACTGAACATCAGTCGCAAGAAGACATAATGTGATGTTCTTAGCAACTAGGGACAGCCCAACATGCAAATTACATAATTGGGGATGCCAATAGCAAGCAAGCAAGTAGGAAAATTTGAATATTGTTATGAACAAAGAAAAGAGTACTGAACTATTATGTAATATCGTTCCTCTTATATGACAGAGAATGATGGACAATCTTCTCACAGATGAAGAAGAGATAAAAATAAGAGTACTGAAATATTACGTAATATCGTTACTCCTATATGACAGAGAATGATGGACAATATCCTCACAGCTGAAGAAGAGATAAAGAAAAGAGTACTGAACTATTATGTAATATCGTTCCTCTTATATGACAGAGAATGATGTACAATCTCTTCACAGATGAAGAAGAGACAAAGAAAAGAGTACTGAACTATTATGTGATATCATGCCTCTTATATGACAGATAATGATGTACAATCTCTTCACAGATGAAAAAGTGTTGAAACTTGACTAATGCATGGAATAATAATACAACACAAAATGTACTTAGAACAAAATGTATTGAAACAAGAAAGTGTACACAATATTTACATATAGTCTTTTGTATATTCTTGGGAAGACTGTTCCTGGAGAATGTGTTGACTTAGTCGCAGTCGGGCAGAGTCTCTGGATTGAATCTCTTGATTCCTCCCCTCGTCTTCCCGGTACCAACCATATTTATATGGTCGGTACTCCACTATGCAAATTAGGTGGATCCTGCCACAACACCCCCCTCCAAAGCCTGGGAATCCCTTTTGGATTTCAAACTGGCTTCCTATATGGGTTGATGATTATGGCTATTTCTTTGTAGATCCATTTGCATACTTCATATGCATATGTCCATCCGCCTAATTTTAATATTTTTTCCGTTTTGGATTCACATCTAAAGGGCCCATGAACTTCCGTTTCCTACCGGATCTTCTTGGTTCAGGAGTATTCTGCGGAGGTTCTACCTGAAACATATCATACATTATATCAATGGGATCTTCCTCCTCATCAGGTATACTCTCTTCATGCTCTGTAACGTAACATTTTTTAAGTTGATTCTGGTGCCTTTTATGAGTATTCTTCGGCCCTTTAATTATGTAAATCAGGTCACCGATTCTCTTGTCCACTATGCCTCGCTCCCAGAACTCAACGTTGTTTTTGTAGC